TCACCTGATGAAACATTTTAAATAACATTTATCATGACATTTCCCTTCTGAACCTGCAATGTATGTCTCCTAAGACAGTACCTCACAAACTTCATGTGCCAATGTGGAGTTTGGCAAAATTCAGGCTCTTGATTCTGTTGGTCAAAAGGCCAACAGAACGCCAAAAGTTCTGTTTTTCTAGCAAGTTCTCTGGGGATGGCAACACCATGTGTCTACCTATAACACTGAATCATAGGGTACTAGTAAAAAGGCTGTCCTACATACCATGATGTCTTAGCTCACCCAAGAAAAGTTAATAATTTCTTACTCCACAATACACATATTCATATTCTCCCAAGTGTCATTTCTCCCCATGTCCCATCACAGACTTTATCTCTAATCTGTCATACAGAACAATCCATTCCAGTAAACTCTCCCACCCACTACCCATAGGAGACGAAGGGCAATGGTTTTACAAAATATTCCACAATGTGTCAGATTATGCTACTTAAATCTCCTATATTTCCTGTGAACAGGGACTCCAGAGGACTGAATTCAGGTGAAAGCCCAGGTTAGCCTACATGCCCAGGCACGCATGCTGGGCCCACCAACTGCTGGGGATGCTCACTTGTCACCTGAATAAGGGGGAGAACATCAATAGCGCCACTCGGAAAGCAGTTCCCTTCTGCAATTAGAATTACTCCAAGGGTATTATTTAGGCATCCAGGTATTATTCTGACCTCACTATCTTTCACATGATTTAGTTACTTGGATTTAACTGAATTATTTTACTGATGTCACAATCAGAGACATTCTTTGGGGCAAGAGAGAGGGGTCAAAAGAGGAGAGGGAAGAATACAAGGGATTTGGTGATGGTGCATGGGTGAATTGGTGGTGGGAATTTTCTGAGGACTACACCTGAGAGAAGAAAGCAAACATTGTATAATTTGGTGTATGAATCACTTCCAAATGGCAGCAACTGAGAAATTTTCTTTTTCTTTCTTTTTTCAGTATCAGGACAGACATGTTTCTCCTTAGTCAGCACTGTCATTGATTGTTGGTCTTTCTAATCACTAGCTACCCCAAAGTTGGACAGTACAAGCCCCTCCAAATCCATTTGGGGGCTACCTTGGCCTGGCCTCCTCAGTCTTGCCTTGTATTCTGCACACCACATTCTGACACTTAACTAAAAGCTAAACAGTAAACTAAGAAGGCCCTGTCAAGTGAGTTCTTACATTCTTCCTGCAAATAAAAATGGTCTTCAAAATTTCCCACCCACAAAAAGCAATGGACAGACTCTCCCATCAGTCTTCTAAGTTATGAACAAGCAGACTGAGCTTTCTGATTTAAGGTACATCACCATAGGGCATACTGCCACCCTAGGCGACACCACACAACGATGTCTGTGCCTTTGTTAAGGGGAAGGATGTCCTAAAGGAATTCTGCAGTTTTGTGGACACAACACCCTACTCCAGCTTTCTGGACCCAACACCCTACTCCAGTGATTGGAAAACTACAACTCCCAGCAGTATCAAGGTGAGAACTGTGAGGACCCAAGGGCAGAGTTAAGCAGGCATTCTTGGACTTTGGGGGATAGATAAGGAGTGGTTTTCAACAGTCACTCTGAAGAGGTAATGGCTTTCTCTCTCTCTCTCTGTGGGATAAGGGCTCTCAGACGTGTGACTAGGGGCTATCAGTTAGTTTTGTTACTAGAGTTCCGAGTTATTTGAACTGGTAAAATATTCCAGTTACGGCCCTCCCTGGTGGCTCAGCGGGTTAAAGCACAGCACAAAGAAGCTCAAGCCACTTCTGCATGAGTTCGATCCCTGCCTGCCCCAGAGGTAACCACATGGTGCGGCAGACC